TCTCTTCAGTGTCTCCAAGGCTGACATCTCCATCCACGTCCAAGGAGGGAAATAGGTGCCTCCATTTCACTTCATCCTCTGGTTGACTTCATCCTGCAATGGGTTGGGCTCCCATGGGGGCATAAGGCGAAACTACCATGAGATGCAGGAAGGCAGGACTTGGGACAGAGGCCCACCAGTGCAGTCGGATGGGGTCAGATGGCTCATATGGTTCCTGCTTCACTGCCAGGCCCTGGTGTGGGAACAACAGCGGGCAGCGAGACAGACCCATGTCCACCCCCAGGCTGGGGGTCACCTTCAGAGAAGAGCCATTTCAGAAAGGCTTTCCTTGTGTGGCCACCAACCACTGCGCTTTGCAAATCCCAGCTGCTCCTGCATGTTGATATCTCCTGCCCCAAACTACTACTGTCCTCTGGAAACAGTGTTTTTAACTAAGCAGAAACCAAATCCAGAGCTAGGTTCAAGGGCATGGGATAAAGAGGTGTTGAGTCAGTCCTGCAAGGAAGCCAAATCCCTGTGGGATGCAGTGGGACCAGGCTGGACCCCTTCCCATGGTGAGGATTCAAGATGTCTCCTCCTCTCTCTTGCTCAACCTGTGGGTCAGCAAGACTGCCAGGTCCTGCGCTGACCGTGCTCTCTGCCCCTCTTCCAGGCCCTGAGGAAGAGACCCGGCTTCTCCAAGATTTTACACATCAAAGTGGAAGGAGGCTGTTAGACCTTCAGGGAACACAAAGCACATTCCCTCTTCAGCCTGGCGCAGCCAGAGGCCCTGTGAAACCAAACCCAACATCTGCCGCTCATCCGTTGCCAGACCTGGAACACGGAGATGCCGGCCCATGCACAAAAAACACAAACTCTTGCAGGCCTTAGTGACTGGCAGCCGGTGCTCATCCCCCGGGCCAGCTCGCAGGCGAGAAGGTGCTACTTAAGGAAATTTTTTGGCTGCCCAAAGAGGCAGGGCTATGCTCTTTCCCAGGAGGGAAGATGGCTTCGAACCCCCTGCGGCTGCTCGTTGCCAAGGATCCTTGTTTGGGGAATGCCTTTTTCTTTGAACTCTCTTTCTGGGTTGTTTTTTTTTTTTGGCCATCTGATGGTGTGGGAACTAAGGATGGCCCAGTCCATCCCCGTGGGCTCTTTGCAGAGCGCTGGGCTCGGCGCCACTGCATCACAGCTGGACTATCCCCATGCTCTGTGTGGGCTAGTAGAGATAGGGTGAGAAGGTGCCGTTCCTCCAGAGGAAACAGTGCCCAGTATTTCTGAAGGGTTTCAGCTTGTTTTCATTTCATTTGTTTAACAGAGGGGCACCCAAACCTGGGAGAATACTGCCCAGAAACCAGCAGCCACAACAGCACAAGCCCGGATGGCAGAGCTGCATCTCGGGGGCTGTAGAAGCTAGAGGATGCCAGAAGAGATGGTTGCTCTTCCAGACGTCTCCAGCCTCACCTCCTCTCCACCCAAACCCTCCTGCCAAGGCAATAAACCATCTCCAAAATCCTTGTCCACCAGGAAACACAGGTCACGCTTCTGTCCCCACCAACATCCACCATCTGCTCAGACTCCCTCCAGAGCAAGTTGTCCTGTGTGGAGAGAGGGACTGGCAAGGGACACCCACATTTGCCATCCCATCGCCTTCCCAAGCAACCTGAAAGAGAAACCCTGGCCAAATTTTCCTGAAATCCAAAGCTGCCGGTGAAAGCACCAACCCAACTGCCCTGGTAGATCCCTTGTCTATGGCCACGGCTGTTTTTTCTGATTCTGCTTTTTTCTTCTGGCTGTCTTCTGCCTGCAAGGAAGTCATCACCCCCAAAATACCCTTCTTTTTCCAAAGGAAAAGGCTTTTGAAAGGCATCTGGCAGGGTCAGGTGTCCCCATCCTCCACCCTGGGGAGAAGGTGCTGGGAGGTGCCCACACCATGGGGGACACCCATCACAGCACTGCCAGCAGCAGGGGCACACTGGCCTTAACCACAGCCCAATGCCGCCCTGAGCCCCAACCAGGCATGCTTGGACCCAACACACTAAGCTAAGAGGAGCCAACTGGGGAAAGCAGATTTTGCAAGTTTGTCCTCTCCTCTGGGCCATCATTGGAGGTTTCACTGTCTGTTGGCCTGCATGGCTGTGAGGAGACAGCCCTTCCTGTGGTATCTCCCCTTCCTCCAGCCCTCCTGGGGTGATGGGCTGCCATGGAACATCCCCCTGGGAGGGAGAAGGCTGAAGACCCATCCTGGTACCACCTTCCTCATCCACATCACAAGAGCTGCAGACCTCAGCCAGGGGCTCCCAGCCTGCCGACAAGCCCAGGGGACCCCGACAGAAAATGAAATCTCTTCCAAATCACTGAAGCTGGTGGTGGGCTGAAGGCAGCTTCTGGGTCTCCAACCCCAAAAAGCACCTCAGGAGACCATTTCATCCACCCCTCGTCCTGTCTACACTGTCTCCTCTGAAACAGGGTAGGGGTTTTTGGCCATAACCCCCCATTTGAAGCACCTCCGTTCCCCTGCTGACTGCAGCTTTCCAGGAGAAGGCTGTTCCCGGTATGCACAAATTGTGGGAGCCCCCAAAAAATGCCTGCGAGAAACTACCATGTCCCACCATGCCCCCATGGGCAGCATTGGATGAACTCCCCGGCACCAGGGACGAGCTCCCTGCCATGCCCGCTGTGGGTTTACCTCCATCCTGGGGATGCTGGGACACACATACTCCCCGGGCAAGAGGAGCAAGGGACGGCCCGACCAGCAAAAAAAAACACCCAGCAAAGCTAAAAACCCCCGGGGACCACCCAGACGCCATCCCACGAGCGTGGTCCCAGTGGAAATGTCACCGTTCGAAACGGTGCAGAGACTTGCGAAATGCCCTTAAAAATAAAACAAAGTAAGTATTTATTTCTATAAAGAAAAGAAGGAGAAAGAAAAAAAAAAAAGATTTTAAAGGAAAATTATATACTCAGCATGTTTATACACTCTATGCTTAAAGACTATCCTGTTGGAGAGTCGTGTCCGAAGACTGAAGGTGGCTGCTCCAGGTTTGCTGCTAGCCCACGCCCAGCCCCTTGCCCGGCTCCTCCGGGTCATGGGGAAGGCGAAGACAGGGTGACGGAAAGCATGGGGAGATGTTGAGGACTCTTGGAGAAGCCTTCTAGGCTCGCCAGTGAGACCAGCGCGGCTGCTGGTGCCATCGGTGGCCGTGTCTGCTGGTGGCCATGGTGGTGTGGAGCATGGGTAGGTGTGTGACATCCCCAACCCCCCGCTGCCGCAGAGGTTTTGTAAGTTGAGGCAGAAAAACCTCACCCAAATTTGGTGCTTCAGTGTATTGCCGAGACCAGACCAAACCATCTGCCTCCCCTTGGGGCATTCCCAAAAAGTCCACTTCTGGCTTAGCAAAACCACGTTTCTTAAAAAAATCCTGCGATGACACAAGACCTTGAGCATATTCAAGGACTGGAAGATGGATAGTAGGGGATTTTCCCCATTTTGATTGTTGCCTGGGCTTGGATGAGTCCCTTCCTCCTCCTCCTCCTCGGCTGAGGATAAGGGTGGCTGGCGCAGGCTTAGTGGTAATGAGAGTCCTGTGTCTCCCTGGCCCTCCTGGTAGCTCCTAATTGCCCAGGTTGTTAATGGCAACGAGCTCATTAACGGCTCTGTATTTCTTCCGCTGAAATGTCATATTGACGGTTTCCCTGCTGATTTCCCTCTCCATCCCGCCGGTACGTGGCCCTGTTGGCTCTCCCACAAACCCCCATTGCCCACCCCCATCCCTACGGGATGCTGGGCCAGCACTGCCCGCGGCCGTAGGATTCACCACATGGGCCACGGGGTTTCAATCCCATTTCCTCTGGAAATGATGGAGATGCACAGAAATACCAAATTCCCTGGGAAAGCCTTGAAATCACGCAGCGTATTCAGGTGCCGATAGGGAAGGGACAGCTGCAGTGTGAGCACAACCCCATACAAGACCTTAGAGAAGCCCCAGAGGGGCTCTGCGATGACAATCCCCAGCAAAAGCCAGGGCACAGCTGCCTGTCCCAGGTGGAGCATCAGCGGTGAGCAGCTTTTGTGTGGAGTCATGGTGATGGCCAGATCTGGCAGGGGCTGGAGGGATGGTGCTGCTGGTTCCTGCCCAGGCTTGGTTCCCACAGGACCAGTTTGGGGGGGGATTTATTCCTTTTCTAGTGAGTTTGCCCAAAGTTTCCCTGTGGCCAACGCTCGCGACATTCCTCTTCTCTTGAATTTGGGTGCCGGTCAGGGATCTCAAGAGGAACACCACCAGCAAAGCCAGCTTGGGGGTCAAATTTATCCCAAATCCATGGTTTTCTGTCTCCCTTGTGTGTTGGATTTTGCTCGTCATCCATTGCTGAGTCCCCCAGAAGTCAGGGATGTTCCGGGGACCAGCTGCCTCCTCCTGACTTCATCCCTGTGCCCCCAGTTTGGGGGGGTCCAAGGTCATAAAATGTCTAGGAAAAGAGGGACAGCCCTCCCAGGTTGGCTCTGTCTGAGGAGGTTTTTCAACCTCTTTATCAAGCAAAGAAGGCAAAAAACCCAAAAAATAAATTCCCACCTCTCTCCATGTGTCATGGTCTCAGCTGCCACCCAAGGCACAGCCACAGCTGAGCGGTGGACAGCTTGTCTGGATCCTTCAAAAAGCTCTGAATTTGGCTAAAACAGAACACAAAAAAAACCCCATGAAAAGTGTTGATAAAGGCTTTTAAAGCAGTTGAATGGTATTTTCTCTCGGCTCTTAGAGGAGCCCACCCCAGGAGCGGGTGCATCGCTTCAGCTCATCGTTTTGGGTTGAAAACCTGCAGGTCCGGGTGGAATGAAAGCATTTGGGAATCGGTGCCAAACAACAAAATACTTCAAAAAAAAAAAGGAAAAAAAAAAAAAAAAAGAGGGAGCAGGGAGATTTTAGCAACCGGAGATGGTTTGTTGCAACCGAAGCATCACAGGGTGTTGTTGCAAAGGTGAGTGGTGGCGACGCACAACTTTCCCTATCGGTGGGAGGGAAAATAACCCCCCACGATGGGTGAAACTGTCCCTCCTGCCCCAAGGAAAAGCTGCTGCAAATCCTTCCCCCGTGTGCAGCAGCAAGGAGGGGAGGGAAAACTGCCTGAAAGCAGGGAAAAATGGGATTTTTCTAATCCAGCCTCGGGATTGAGCCCGGGGGAGGGGTGGGAGGTGAGGCGGGCTGGGGCCGGGGACAAGCGGGTGCAATGGTGCGGGAGGGCAGGACAGCATTTGGGAAGCGAGCGCGGTAACGCACACTTGCTAAGAGATAATCAGAGGGACGAGCTCCCCCCGGGGAGGAAAAAAAAGAAAATATATATACATATACAGGAATTGCAATCATTTCCCTAACGCACTTCACGGCGGTGCAAGTTCAGCCCCTGGTGAGCGATTTCCGAGGGGCCCTGTACAGTGACCTCCTCCCTCCCAAAAGGTAGCAAGTTTGCCTCCTGAGTTATTTTTTTAAATCTATATAAATATAGGTCTATTTTAGTCTTTCGCAGCGATGTGCCAGTGTCTGGAGAACCAAACGACCCTTCTTCCCCCTACCCCATGGTCCTTCGATGCTAAACCGGGTCCTCGATGCTAAATCTGCCAGAGGATGTTGCCCTGGAGTAGGGAGGGGGGGAAGAGGCAGGGATGAGGGTGCAGCCGAGATTGGGGTGCAGCCCGAGATGGAGAAGGGGGATGTCAGGAGGAGGCTCCGGGTGGTTTTG